ATGTTTTTCAGTTCATAATGTATCCTGGCACGTTACTAAAGGTGTTTATAAACTGTAGGACTTCCCTGTTATAGTTTTGGGGGTTTCTTATGTATACTATCATATAATCTGTAAATAGTGATAATTTGACTTCTTTATTTTCTATTTATATCCCAATGATCTCCTTTTATTGTGTTATTGCTGTAGTACAAACTTTGAGTAGGGTATTGAAGAGATAAACAGAGACTCTTGTCTCATTCTTGTTTTTACTGGTATTACTTTGAGTTTCTCCCCATTTAGTTGATTTTGGCTGTTGTCTACCCATATATGGAATTTATTAAGTTTAGGTATATCCCTTGTATCCATGATCTCTCCAAGACCTTTATCATGAAGGGATGTTGGATTTTGTTGAAGCCCTTTTCATCATCCAATAAGATGATCGTGTGTTTGTTTCTTTCACTTTGTTTATATCATGTATTATATTGACAGATTCCCATACATTGTGCCAGCCCCACAACTCTGGGATGAAGCCTATTTGGTTATGGTGAATGATTATTTCTGATGTGTTCTTGGATTTAGTTTGCAAGGATTTTATTGTGTATTTTTGCATCAATGTCAATGAGGGAGCTTGGTCTGTAGTTCTTTTTTTGCTACATCTTTTTGTGGTTTGTATATAAGTGTTGGCAATTCTTCTGTTTCTATAGTGTGGAACAGATTAAGGAGTATAGGTATCAGTACTTCTTTGAAGTTCTGGTAACATGCTTCTATTTCCTCAGGTGTTATAGTTCTATATAGTTTGTTTATCTGGTCTGTACTTACCTTTGTTTATTTACTATACAGAAAATTGTCCATTTCTCCTAGATTTTCCAATTTCGTGAACTACAGGTTTTCAGAGTATGACCTAATTATTTTCTGGATTTCCTCATTGCTGTTATATCCCATTTTTCATTTCTGAATTTGTTAATTTGGATACTTTCTCTCTTCCTTTTGTTTAATTTGGATAAGTGTTTGTCTATCTCATTTATTTTTTTCAAAGAAGCAACTTTTGACTTTATTGATTCTATTGTTCTTTTTCTTCAAATTTTATTGATTTCAGCCCTCAGTTTGAATATTTCCTGTCATCTCTTCCTTCTGGGTGAGTTTTCTTCTTTTTGTTCTAGAACTTTCAGGTGTTTAGTTAATTATGTAGTATGGGATTTCTCTAACTTCTTTATATAGTCATTTAGTGCTAGGAGCTTTCCTCTTAGCACAGCTTTCATGGTATCTCATAAGTTTGAGTAAGATGTACATTCATTTTCATTGAATTATAGAAGAACTTCAATTATTACTTTATTTCTTCCTTGACCCAGGATTGATTAAGTTTCACATTATTCAGTTTCTATGAGTTTGTAGACTGTCTAGAATTTGTGTTGTTGTTTAATTCTGATTTTAAGCCTCGGTGATCTGAGAAAATAAGGGGATTATTATAATTTCTCTATATCTATTGAGATTGGCTTTGTAACCAAGTTTGTGTTCAATTCTAGAAAAGTTCAATGTGGTGGTGAGTAGAATTCTTTTCTGTTTGAGTGGAGTGTTCTAGAGATGTCTGTTAAGCTCATTTAACTCATAATATCTGTTAGATCCCTGTCTTCTCTGCTAGTTTTCTGTACAGCCTATCTGCCTGCTAGTGTGATTGAGGTGTTAAAGTTTCCCACAATTAGTGTGTGGTGTTTGATGTGCAATTCAAGCTTTAGAAATGTTTCATTTACAAATGCGTGTGCCCTTGTATTTGGGGCATATATATTTAGGATTTAGACATCTTGCTGTATTTTTCCTGTGATGAATGTGATATGTCCTTTACCATTCCTTTTAATTACCTTTAATTTGAAGTCTAGTTTTTAGAAATTAAGATAGTTACACCAGTTTGCTTCTTAGGTACATTTCACTGGAATGTCTTTTTCTATCCCTTTCCTATAACGAGATGTCTGTCTGAGAAGTTGAAATGCATTTCTCGTATGCAGCAGAAAGTTGGATCCTAATTTTATACCTATTTCCTTAGCCTGTGTCTTTTTATAGGTGAGTTGAATCCATTGCTATTAAGGGATATCAATGACCAGTGATTGTTGATTCCTGTTGTATTTTGGTGGTGGTGGTATATATGTGCCATTTTCCTTTAGAATTTTCTGATGTGGAATTATTTATTACCTGTGATCTTCTGGGTATATCAAGTGTCACTGAGCTGGAGTTTTTCTTCTATTGTTTTCTGTAAGGTTTGATTTGTACATAGGTATTGTTTAGATCTGGTTTCATCACAGAATATCTGGTTTACTCCATGAATGGTAATTGAAAGTTTAGCTGGATATAGCACTCTGGGTTGGCATTCATTGGCTCTTTGAATCTACATAGTGTTTTTCCAGGCCCCTTCTAACTTTGAGAATCTCTATTGAGAAACTAGGTGTTATTCTGATGGATCTGCCTTTTATTTTATTTTATTTTTTGGTTCATTAACTAGAGGTTCTGTAAGCTTTGGTATCTTCATAGGCATTTCCTTCAATGATTTTGTTGAATATATTTTCTGTGTCTTTAAGCTGGTATTCTTATCCTTCTATCCTTACTATTCTTTGGTTTGGTCTTTCTGTGGAGTACCAGATGTCCCAAACATTATGTAATATGACTTTGCTGGCCTTAGTGTTTTTTTGACTGATGATGAATCTGTATCCTCTATCATATCTTCAATGCCTGAGATTCTCTCTTCTATCTCTCGTATATTATTTGTTATGCTTGGGTCTGTAGTTCCCATTTGTGTACCCAGATTTTTGACTTCCAAAATTTCCTCTGTTTGTGTTTTCTTTTTTTGTCTCCATTTCAATTTTTGAGTCTTGGATTTGTTTTTTTCTCTTGGTATTCTTTAAGGGATTTATTGATATCTTCCAATTTTTTGTTTGTCATTTCTCCATTTCTTCTTGAACGGCCTCTGTAATCTTGATCAGGTTATTTTAAGGCCATTTTCTTCTGCTTCTTCTGTGTTGGTATGCTCAGGTCTTCCTGTTGTAGTACCAATAGTTTCTGGTGTCACCATAATGCTCTTTAGGTTGTTGAATGTATTCCTGCAATGATGTCTACATATCTCTTCTTCCCCTTGGTTCAGGCAGTGTCTTTACTTCTTGATACAAGCCTCATAGTCCCTCTCTCTCTCTCTCTGATCCTCTTTCTGTCTCTCTTTCTTTATCTCTCTCAACCCTCTCTGTGCAGTAGATGTCTGTGACCCAGGGATGCCAATGAGGTAGAGGTGAATGGTGGCGTTTGGGAGAGAGCCTCAGTTTTTGTGTGCACTACATGTCTTTCATTCATATCACACAGTCCTCTCTCTCTGCAGTAGATGTCTGTGTCTCTGGAAGCCTCTGTTGTCACCAGGAATGGAGGCTGTTGTTTTGAGGCTACAACAGGAAAATCCAAGATTTGCTAGTAGGACTTGGGACAATAAAGGAAAAGACAGCTTGTTATGACAGTCATGGCAGGTAATGGTGGTAGCTGCAGCGGTAGTGACAGCAAAGCCAGGGGCAATTGTCTAACTTGTGATGTTATGCTCAGAGTTGGATGTCGGGTGAAGTGTTAATATCATTATTCTTTGTCCATAAAAAACTGGGAATCAGGTATCAGGAAAGAAACCTGAAAGTTCAAAGAATCTGTGCAATGGCCACCATGGACCTTGTATTTCTTCTTTTGCTTTATTCAATAGAGCTAAGTTCCCCAGCAAAACCATACTACTTCCTGTCTCCTGTATGATCTCGTTCCTCCAAAACCTCTATTGTTAGTTTTGGTCAGCAAGTGGCTAGCTTCACCTTCTTATTCAACACAAAATTTATACTCAGAATATGATCAAAATACTACACAACTGTATCCTATAAGAGTGTACAATTGTTTTGTTTCATATAAGAAATAGGAAAAGTAGGTGAGTTAGCAAAGCCTGTTATACCAAGACTGACAGTTAAAGTGAGAGATTCTGGTTCCTGACCAGCCTGGGCTGCATGGTAAAACTCCCTTCAAATAATGAAATGATATATAAATTAAAATTTCAAAAAGGATTACCAATTATCAACTTAACTACTTTAAATCTGTTCTGCCTTGGAATTTTCTTCCAAATTCAAACTTCTTTAGCTTTTACATAAGGATTCACAATGAATTTTCAATGAAGTACTGGATTATCTCCACAAGAGACCACGTTCTCCATCCTTTTCTTCCTATCCTGATCACAATTTCTGATCATGCTAATGTCTAATAGGAAAAAATATGGAACCCCATAACAATAATTCCATGAACTCAACTGGACATTGATTCCCATTAATCATAGGAAAGACAATTCAATCAAGAAAATGGTGTATTTGCATTCATTGTCCCAGAAGTTACAATGACTTTATATTTAAATGTAAATTTTTACTACATTTGATATTGCTAATTCTGCCCACTCAAAATGAAAAGACCACCAGCTGGAATAAATTCAAATGAAATATATAGTGTATTATGCCTCTCTTATACACCTTGAATGTGGCCAAAGTGTCTTAAGTTAGAACTGCTGTGGTTACCCTCCTGAAATTCTGAGTACAAGCATTCCCTTGTGGAAGGAAAAGTGAGAATAACAGTATTTAAAAACCTTCCTGTGATCATTAGGTATCCTCTTTCCTATCCTTGTTAAGCTATTTAAGAGAGAAAGAATAGGCCTGAGACTCTTGCAGAATGTGGCTGCCCATGAAACTCTGCTACTGATGTTTTCTTTCAGTGATATCCATATCCCTGTATGTAAACACAGTTAAGTCATCATCACTTTTACTACTCTGTAATCTTCAATGCTTCCCTGCCTCTTCTGAAAGATTCTAGGAGGTCCAAGAAGAGTTACCCAGTGAAGATCACCAGTCTGGGCTATCTCTCCACCTAATGTTTGACTGTGGGTCTCTGCTTCTATTCCCAATGGATGCTGGTAGAAGCCTGTCTTATGACAGTTGACCTGGCACCAATCTATAGACACAGCATAATATCTTTTTTTAAAAGTGAATATACAATTTATTTAACATTCAAACTTCATTAAGACATGTGCAATATAGCAATTTTACTGGGATATGATTGCTTGCTGAGGCTTAGCAACAGGGTCCAGTTCACACTTAGCACTAATTAAATACTTTATTGAATAAATACAATACCAAACAATGCATCCAAATGTTTTCTTAAAAAAGAAAAATCACTTTTAATGGCCTTTCTAATCAGGCTAATGAGGAACACAATAAAGGCAAATATGCTAGTTTAACATAATTGGCTGATTTTATACAGCACTTATATCTTTTAGTCCACAAGTATATTATTAAATGATAGAGAACATCTAATACAACCATTTCTACATAACTAGTAAATGAATTTCTAAGAAAAGAAGATTTTACAGACCCCATTTTTTTATACCCACCCCAACAGTCTAACCCTAAAGAGGATAAAGCCAATGCCTTTCCTCACAAGAGCTCAGGACTAAAGTCGCTTTGCTATCAGAATCTGTATTTGTGATCCGTTATGAGCACTGAGACAAGATTCAAATATTCTCAAAGAAGCACAATGCACGTTGTGTTCACCTATTCAGCAACAGCAAGCACTGCTTTCAAACTATCTCATCCCAGGAATTAAATAAGGTCAGCATAATATCTTACGATTCCTTATATTGATTTTTTTCTATCCCTGGACACTAGGTTATTCAACCTCTGGTTACTTGCCATCAAGAAAGAGTCAGGCATAGGCACTCTCTCTCTCATGGGGTGAGTCTCAATTTAGACAAGTGTTGGGGAAGTCTTATGCTAATAAAGCACTGTCTGGCCAATAGGAATCTAGATAGGTGGGGCTAGGAATCCAGGAGGATTCTGGGAAGGAGAAACACAAGAGAGTTGAGATGTAACGCCATTGGGGTAGGAAGCCCGGAAACCTCTCCGGTAAGAGACATACTTAGATTAACAATTATGGGGTAATTACTTAAAGCAGAGCTAGCCAGTAAGATACAAGCAAGGCCAGCAGCTTCATAATTAATACAGCGTCCTGTGTGTTATTTGGGGTCTACAATGCGGCAGAGCCCAGGAGGCTGGCGGGGGATAAACCAAAGCGGCCAGCAAAGAAAAAGCTTCTCTTAACAGACAAGTTATTGGTTGGCCACTCCCACAGCGTCTGCCCCTCCATTGCTTCAGTATATCTTAGAAACAGAATAGAATGTTGTCAAAGGTTTTGTGGCTGGGTTGGTGTTCCAGTCCTACAATAGGAAGTTGTATGGTTACAGAAGATGGATAGTTCAAGCTTAGTGTTCTTCATTCCTAGGAGTAATACCTGGGGTTATCCTAGAGAATACTGGGATTTTCTACTACACTAGGTACACTAGGTTTCAACATAACCCTTAGATGCCCTCCAATTCTAATTGTCTCTACCCATAATCTCTTCATCTACACATCCACTTCATCCTTCCTGTACTTATTCTCACACACCCCCAGTGTTCCCACAAAAACTTTTCTATTTTCCTTCTGAGGAAGATTCATGTTCTCCTCTTTTTTATTTTTAAAACAATATTATTTTATATATCAATCCCAGTTCCCTCTCCCTCTTGTCCTCACTACCCCCACCATCTTACCACTCCTGTCCATTACTCAGAAAGGGTGATACCTCCCTTGGGGAATCATCAAAGTCTGTCACATCATTTAGGGCAGGATCAAGGCCTTTCCATGCTGTATCTAGGCTAAGCAAGGGAATGGGCTCCAAAAAGCCAGTTCATGCACTAGGGTTATGTAAAGGGAAGTCTTTTCTTTGAGAGAAGCATTCCTGCCAGCCTGGTTCCATAGCCGCATCAGTCCCAAATAAACACACAGGAGGCTATATTAATTATGAAGCTGTTGGCCTTACTTGTTTCTTACTGGATAGCTCTGACTTAAATAATTATGCCATAATTGTTAATCTAAGTATGTCTCTTACCAGAGAAGTTCCCGGGCTTCCTACCCCATGGCATTACATCTCAACTCTGTGTTTCTCTTTCCCAGAGTCCTTCTGGACTCCTAGTCCCACCTATCTAGATTCCTATTGGCCCAACTGTGCTTTATTGACATAATCACAGGACTTCCCACATCATCTCCTGTTTTCTGTCTAAACAAAAAGGAAGGTCTTAACTTTAACATAGTCAAATTCTATATAAAAGAACAGCTATCAAGTAAGAACATAGTTACAATATTTTGTCTATCAACATTTAACAAGATTTAAAGAAAATATCATTTTCTCATTCTTGTGAGTCCAAAGTTCTATATGTAGCTTATCTCTTATCATAACTAAGGAAAACTATAACTATAACTATCTGTCTTCAACTCCATCAAAGACCACAGAAGGATAATATATAAACACTAGGATTGACAGAGGTATCTTACTGCCTGGACAGTCACCCGAAGTTCCTCTGTAACGTTGGGATATCCATCTTCAGCCCATAGGCCACAATGTGTCCAGAAGATTTCTCAGCAAAGCAGGAAATTTTAAACTGTCCATCTGCATTGGCAGTCTGTTAGTCATTTTTCTTTGTCCTGCAGAAAGTCTTGTAGACTCTTCCATGAAGCAGGAACCCTGTAAGACTGAGTTCAGCAGTCACTTTTCTGTGGGTCCCGCATGTCCAGTTTACACAACAACAGTCAAGCAGTATAGGCAAGAGCAGTTTCTTGCCCAAATGGCTAATCTTGCCATGTTGAAAACAAACTCCATAACAAGTTTCTTCGATGCCCATCTTCCTCTCAGACGTAATTGGTGCTGCCAGCAGCAGACATTTCTCATTGTCAAGAAAAACCCTAAGCCATTTTAAATGCCATTTTCTGAAGGTCTTTGAGAGGTTTGAAGACTGTTTATCTTTCTCAAATATATTTCTGTATATCTAGAAAACCTGACTTACCTAACTATAAATTCTATTATAACTAACTATCTATAGTCTGTATTCCATTATGCATTATGTTTTAAAAGATCAGTATAAGCACAATACTTAATCAAGAGGAGAAATATACACATCACAAAATTGACCTTGAATTTGTATCAATAAATGAAAAACAATACCCATACTATAATTCCCCTTTTTACCATTAAAAAGAGATTGGCTGTGATCATCAACCAATTATAAACAATCCCATTTAAATGAAAACACAGATTTATGAACAAGATGGGAATTAGGACGTTGCTCATTCCAAACTGCTTCATGCTGGAAGGGTTTATCACCCGCCATTCGCCTGTGCTCTGCCGCGTTGTAGTCCCCAAATAACACACAAGACGCTGTATTAATTATGAAGCTGTTGGCCTTGCTTGTTTCTTACTGGCTAGCTCTGACTTAAGTAATTACCCCATAATTGTTAATCTAAGTATGTCTCTTAACAGAGAAGTTTCTGGGCTTCCTACCCCATGGCTTTACATCTCGACTCGGTGTTTCTCCTTCCCAGAGTCCTCCTGGACTCCTACTCCCACCTATCTAGATTCCTATTGGCCCAACAGTGCTTTATTGATATAATCACAGGACTTCCCACATCAGGGATAAATAGTGGTTCCACTGCAAGTGACCCCATAAACTGACCAAATCCCCCAACTGTCACCCATGTTCAGTGGTTCTAGTTCAGTCTTATGTTGGTTCTCCCATTGCCAGTGTGGAATCAGTGTGTTCTCACCTGCTTATGTCAGCTGATTTTCTGGGTTTCCGTGAATTGGTCTTGATCATTTTGCTCATCACTCCCCCCTCTCTATTTCTGGATTCCAGTAATTTGACCCAATGCTTACCTGTGGATCTCTGAATCTGATTCCATCAGTTACTGGATGAAGCTCTATGATTGCAATTAAGAAAGTCATCAAATAGATTATATGGGAAGGGCAGTTAAGATGCCCTCTCCAATATTGCTTAGGCTATTCATTGGGGTCATCTCTGTGGATTCCTGGGAGTTTCCCTAATACCAGAATTCTTGTTATTCCCATAATGGCTCCCTCTATCAAGGTATTTCTTTCCTTGCTCATCATCTCTGTACTTCCCCCAACTCAATATGTGGATCAAGGAAGAACTAAGAAAGAAATTAGAAATTCCTACAATTCAAAGAAAATAAATACACAACATATCTAAACTTTGGGAGTACTTTGAAAGCAATGGTAAGAAGAAAGTTCATAGCACTAAATTCCTACATAAAGAAACTGAATAATTTTAATACTAGTTACTTAATAGCAACAATTAAGCAAAGCCAGCCAGGAAGAGTAGAAGCAAGGAATTAATCAAATTGAGGACAGAAGTCAATAAAATTGAAACAAAAAAGAAACAAAATGATACAAAAGATTAATGAAACAAAGAGTTGGTTCTTTGAGAAAATCAACAAGATCAACAAAACTTTATCCAAACTTACCAAAAGGCAAATAGAATATGCAAACTAACAAAATGAGAAATGAAAGGGAGGGTGCATGAACTGACATTAAGCAAGTACAGAATCATCACATCAAACTTCACAAACTTATACTCCATAAAATTGGAAAACAAAAAGGAAATGGACAATTTTCTGGACACGTATAACATACAAAAATTAAATCAAGAGCACATAATTCAAATAGATGTGTACATAACCCTTAAGGAAACAGAGGCATTCATCAAAAGTCTCCCAACCAGAAAAGCCCAGGCCCAGATGGGTTCAGTGAAGAATTCTATTAGAAATCCAAATAGCTAATACCAGTAGTCCTCAAATTGTTCCACAAAAAAGAAACAGAAGGGATATTGCTAAGCTCTTCTTACAAGGCTACATTTAACCTGGTACCCAAGCTACATTAAAAACACAACTCAGAATGAGAATTACAGACTGATCTTCTCAAGAACGTTGATCCAGAAACACTCAATAAAATAATGGAAACTGAATCTAAAAACACATCAGAAAAATCATCCATGATCAAGTAGGTTTCATTCCAGAGATGCAGGGATGGTTCAAAGTATGAAAATTTGTCATTGAAATCCATCATAAAACATAAATGACAAGATCATCTCATTAGATTCTGAAAGAGCTTTGGATAAATCCAACACCCCTTCATGATAAAGGTCTTGGAAAGATCATGGATACGAGGAGCATGCCTAGATATAATAAATGCAGTATACAGCAAGCCAACAGCCAACATAAAAGCAAATGGAGGTAAATTCAAAACAACCCCACTAAAATCACAAACAAGACAAGACAGTCTACTCTTCCATATCTCTTCAATATTGCACTTGAATTTCTAAATAGAGCAATAAGACAACAAAAGGAGATCAAGGATATACAAATTGGAAAGTAAGATGTCAAGGTTTAACTATTAGCAAATGATATGATAGGTTACATGTGACCCAGAAAATTCTACAGGGGAAACTCCTCCATCTGAGGAACATCTTCAAAATGATAAAGGATACAATATTACAGTAAGAAAAATTAGTAGCACTCATATACACAGGGATACAAAGAAAATCAGAGAAACTTCACCCTTCAAATAGCCACAGACAACATAATATATATTAGAGAAATTCTAATCAAACAAGTGAAAGACTTGCAGAGAGAAGCTTTGTTAAGTCTTCAATGAAAGAAATTAGAGAGGTCATCAGAAATTGGAAAGATCTCCCACGCTCTTGGATAGGTAGGATCAAGGTAGTAAACATGGCAAACTTGCCAAAAGCAATCCACAGATTCAATGCAATCCACATCAAAAGCATTTGTTTCATTTAAAGCCCTCCATTTTAGCTAGCCTCTCTAGGTCTGTGGATCACTGTATGATTTTAGTTTACAGAACAGCTAATATTCACTTACAAGTCAGAATCTACAGTGTTTGTCATGTGGATCTAGGTTACCTCACTCAGGATGATTGGTTATAGTTCGATCCATTTGACTCAAAATTTCATGTCATTTTATTTAAAACCATTGAGTACTACTATATTGTTTGAATATACACATTTTCTTTATCAATTCTTTGTTGAGAGACATATAGGCTGTTTTTAGTTTCTGACTATTATGAATAAATATGTGATAAATATAGTTGAGCAAGTGCCCTTGTGTTACGATGGAGGAATATACTATTTGGGTATATTACCAAGAGTGGTACAGCTGGATCTTGAGGTAGATAGATTCTCAGTTTTCTAAGGAATTGCCATATTTATTTCCATAGCGGCTTTTAAGATTTTAACTCCCACCAGGAATGGTGGGGTGTTACCCTTATTCCACATCTTTGCCACCCTGAGCTGTCCTTTATGATATTGAACTTAGCTATTCTGACAGGTGTTAAGATGGAGTCTCAGAGTCTTAAATCCATTACTGTATCTTCTGTTTCTTTTCTCTTTTCCAAGCCTTTGTGTATTTTCAAATATACCGTAAACCATTTAGAAGTCTTTTTGGATTGTTTATTTTTCTTTGCTCAATAACCCTTATCTTTTTTCTGACCACATGAGCCTTTAAACTTCTAAATGGTATATATAAGACCAAAGATATGGCTTTTGCAGCCAGCTCTGCCCCACTGCTTGTATCCTGAGAGCCTAGTCTTATGGCAGAGGTACCATTTACCACCAGCTCTGGGAGCTATGTTTACTGTCCCAACTCCAGGAATTTCTGGGTCTACATCAACTGCTCATGAAGCATATTTCAGTGTTTGTTAGCAGGTATTTTCAAAATTTTTGCTACTAGCACCAAGGCAAGAAAGAGACTTTTAAAGCAGCTGCACCTCTGCTTGCCACCAGCAGAGACCGACTGAGAAGATGCAGTTACCAAGCAGCTGTGTTTGACTTTGTTTTTGTCTTTAGAATCCTTTCTAAGCTTTGTCAGACTTTATGTGCAAAAATGTGGCCCCATGATGGCATGCTACATGATGCATTAATCTAGTTAATCTTTACCAATAAAAAACAGTAAAATATCAGGGCAAGAACCTGAAAGATCAGAGAAGCTGAGAGTAGCAGCCACTCACTTTTTTTTTCTTTTTTCTTTTTTTTTTTTTTTTTGGTTTTTTGAGACAGGGTTTCTCTGTATTATTTTGGAGGCTGTCGGTCCAGCCCGGCCTCGAACTCACAGAGACCCACCTGCCTCTGCCTCCCGAGTGCTAGGATTAAAGGCGTGTGCCAACAATGCCCTGGCAGCCACTCACTTTCTACCATTATATTTCATCCATTCTATAGGTCCAAGATCCTCTTTCAGCCAGGCCTTACCACTTCCTATCTTCTCTCTGCCTACAGTCCTACAATCTGTGGTAAATTTGGTCAGTTAGTGGCTAGCTCTGCCCTCAGATTTCAAGCAAGCTTTACTTGCCAGAAGAGAATCAGAATATCACACAGCACATAACACCAGATCTCTCCTATCTATCAAACTGGAAATGATCAATTATAGTGACACTGTGTATCTCAGGCACTGGGAAAAAGTAAGACCACTATGTTAACATGCAACATGGCTGAATAAGGCTTATCATCTGCATTTGCCTTTTATCCCTGAAATAAACAACTTAAGTCAAGAATGTGTCATTATTTCTTCTTTGTGTTTGTAGTAGATCATGAGAAGTTTCTAGGACAGTCAGAAAAATAGACATTGGAGTGATAAGAAGAGAAGCCTTGTTGTTGATGTTGCTAATAAGACAACTTGCTAAGAGAACCAGTAAAAGAGACAGCTAAAAAGCACCTACCTAGAGTTGGAAAGGAAAAATAAAACACAAACTAGGAAATGACCACAACAAAACATGAATATAATGCGGAAACCCCAAGATAAATAAAAATGTGAAAACTGCTCCCCAGTTACCACAGTGAAACAGCTCCCATGAAATCAGGCCAGATATGGAAGAATTGTAAGAGCAGAGAAAAAATTGACCCCTGTCACAGAGTAAGTGATTGTTAGTGGTACCACAAATACAGGCACCTTAACAGAGACCATAGGAGAAAAGGAGAGAACCAAATGAGATAAGTTCAATACCATATTCAAAGGGCAATAGAGAGAGCACCTGCCTCAACACAGTATTTCCTACAGCAACAATAGAGGCAGCACACATGTTTGCGACATTATGACTGTTGGTAAATATATTCCAGCAAAATACTTTAGTGCGGTAGTTTTTGTATACTATTGAGCAAAGAACAATAACACACATTGAAAAACTCTGAGAAACACAGAGTCACAGGGAAAAAGGAGAAACCAGTGTCATGAAAATTACAGGGGAAGCATGTTGTCAGGAAGGACAAGTACCAGTAAGCACCTTCAGCATCTCATTGAGTGCACTGACCCTGCAGACTCACTGAACTTTGACTCTTCAGAAGTCCTTGGCACATCTGCTTTTCTGTGTTAATATATCACAAATATATATATGATATTTAATACTTTAGGAGTCAATAGAATCAATATCATAACCATACAGCCATTCTGGATATGTATATATATATGTATACATATCATATAATACAAGAACACATATCATAGCGATCATGTGATACATATAATAAATATAAAGAATATTTATTTGTGTATATACTATATGAGCAGGTTGCTTCTACACATGCTAGATTGAGTTTAAATCTCCTCTCTACTCCTGTCATTATATTTAGAATAATACTCCTTTCCTCATGAGATGTCTGTGTCTGAATGCCATTTTCCGAAAGATGCATATGTAGCTTGTCAGTTCATGAGTTCATTTGTAATCTACAGCACCAACACGTTGCCCCATTGTGTAATCTGAAGTTTACTTGTGCTTACTGTATTTCCTAAATGCATGTATCTGTCAGTATTTGATTAATTTCTTCACTCACTCTTGCTTTTAGCTAGAAGTCCTGGTTGACGGCACTGTGTGTGTAGGTCCTGAGAGTAAACCTGCAGCATCATGATCACTGCTTTCAGTGAGTTGTGTACTGGTGGCATTGGCACAGTAACCATCATGCTCTGCAAGGTCAACTGGAGGACAGTTCCATCTTTCTGGAAAGGGAAAGTGGAGTTCAGAGAGTAAAGAAATTTGCTGTGCCAGGTGTTGGTGGTTAATGCTTTTAATCCCAGCATTTGGGAGGCACAGGCAGGCAGATCTCTGTGAGTTTGAGGCCAGCCTGGTCTACAGAGCGAGTTTCAGGGCAGCTTCCAAAACAATATAGAGAAACCCTGTCTCAAAACACCAAAAAAAAAAAAAGAAATTTGCTGGAATTCAAGAGCCAATCAATTCAAAAATGAAGGGATTGGTATGTAAAGTGATAAATGATTGTTTTAAAATAAAAAGATCATGTCTAAAAAAATAAAAGCATGAATTTCAAGTACAATATTAAAGAGGTATGGAGAGAGTGTACAGCCTTGTCTTCTTCCTGATCTTAGAGGAATTGCGTTGAGTTTCTGTCCATTTAGTTTGATGTTGGCTGTTGGTTTGCAGTATATAGCTTTTATTATTTTGAGGTAAGTTGTTATTATCTCAGATCTCTCCAAGACCTTTATCATGAAGGGGTGTTGGATTTTGTCAAAGGATTTTTCAGCATCCAGTGAAATGATTATGTGATTTTTGTTTCTCAGCTTGTTTATGTGGTGGATTACATTGTTGGATTTTCATATGCTGAATCATCCCTTCATGCCTGGGAAGAAGCCTACTTGATCATGGTCGATGAGTTTTCTGATGTGTTCTTGGATCTGATTTGGCAGTATTTTATTGAGTATTTTTGCATCAATGTTCATGAAGGATATCCGTCTGAAGTTTTCTTTCTTAGTTGTGTCTTTGTGTGGTTTGGGGATCCAGGTTATTGAAGCCTCGTAGAAAGAGTTTGACAAAGACCCTTCTGCTTCTATTGCATGGAACATTTTGAGAAGAATTGGTATAAGATGTTCTTTGAATTTCTGGTAGAATTCTGCACTAAGGCCATCTGGACCTGGGCTTTTATTAGTTGGGAGACTTTTGATGCCTTCTATTTCCATAGAGGTTATAGGTCTATTTAAATTGCTTATCTGTTCTTGACTTAATTTTGGCAAGTGATGTCTATCCAGAAAATTGTCCATTTCCTTTAGATTTTCAAATTGTATGGAGTACAGGTTTTCAAAGTATGACCTGATTATTTTCTGGATTTCCTCACTGTCCATTGTTATGTCCCACTTTTTGTTTTTGATTTTGTTAATTTGCATGTTCACAATCTGTCGTTTGCTACGTTTGGAAAAGGTTTGTCTATCTTGTTAATTTTTCTCAATGAACCAACTCTTGTAACATTGATTTTTTGTATTGTTTTCCAAGTCTCTGCTTTATTGTTTTCAGCCTTGAATTGGATTATTTTCTGGTGTCTACTCCTCCTGGATGAGTGTGCTTCTTTGTGTTTTAGAGCTGTGCTGTTAATTCTCTAGTGTAACTATCCTCCAGTGGGCACCTAGTGCTATGAACTTGCCTTGTAGCACTGCTTTCAAAGTGTCCCATATGTTTGGGTAGGTTGTGTTGTTATTCTCAGTGAATTCTAGGAAGTCTTTAATTTCTTTCTTTATTTCTTCATTGACCCAGAAGTGGTGCAAAGAGATCAAAGGAATACAAATTGGAAAGAAAGAGATGTAACTTCCACTATTTGCAGATGATATGATATGGCATAAGTGACCCAAAACTCCACCAGGGAACTCCTGAAGCTGATAAATACTTTCAGCAAAGTGGCAGGATACAAGTTCAACTCAAGAAAATCAGTAGCCCTACTATATACAAAAAATAAAAGAGGTGAGAAAGAAATCAGAGAAACATCACTCTTTAAATAGCCACAAACAACATGAAATACCTTTGGGTAATGCTAACCAAACAAGTGAAAGACCTGTATAGTAAGAACTTTGAGTCTTCAAAAGAAATTAAACAGGACACCAGAAGATAGAAAGATCTCCCATGCTCTTGGATAGGTAGGATCAACATATTAAAAATAGCAGTATTACTGAAAGCAATATACAGATTTAACGCAATCCCCATTAAAATCACAGCACAACTCTTCACAGACCTTGAAATAAAACTTATCAACTTTGTATGGAAAAACAAAAGACCTAGTATAGCCAAAACAAACTTATTCAACAAAGCAACAACTGGAGGCATCATCGAATCTCTGACTTCAAGCTCTATTATAGAACTGTAGTCCTGAAAACAGCTTGGTATTGGCACAAAAATAGACAGGTAGACCAATGGAATCAAATTGAACACGGTGATATTAACCCATACATGTATGAATATCTGATATTCGACAAAGAAGCTAAAATATACAATGGAAAAAAGAAAGCATCTTCAACAAATGGTGCTGGCATAACTGGATGCTGACATGTACAAGAATGTGGATAGATACATGTCTATTACCATGCACAAAACTTAAGTCAAAATGGATCAAATACCTTAACATAAATCCAGCCACACTGAATCTGTTAGAAGACAAAGTGGGGGCACACTTGAATGAATTGGTACAGGAGACTGCTTCCTGAACATAATTCCAGTAGCATAGACACTAAGAACGACAGTTAACAAATGGGACCTCCTGTAACTGAGAAGCTTCTGTAAGGCAAAGGACACAGTCAACAAGACAAAAAGGCACCCCACAGATTGGGAAAAGATATTACCTGACAGATGGCTAACCTCCAAAATTTACAAAGAACTCAAGAAGCAAGTCTCCAAAACACCAAAGGATCCAATGTAAAAAGTAGGGTACAGAACTAAACAGAGAATTCTCAATAGCGGAGAGTAAAATGGCTGAGAGATGCTTTAGTAAGTGCTCAACATTCCTAGCCATCCAGTAAATGTAAATCAAAACAATTCTGAGATACCATTTCACCCCTGTCAGAAAGGCTAAAATCAAAAACTCCAAGGACAGTTTATGTTGGAGAGGATGTGGAGAAAGGGGAACACTCCTTCACTGCTGGTGGGAGTGCCAATTTGTACAGCCACTTTGAAAATTAGTATGGAGATTCCTCAGGAAAATGGGAATCAGTCTACCACAAGACCCAGCAATTACACTCTTAGGCATATACCCAAAAGATGCACAATCATACCACAAGGATGGCTGTTCTACTATGTTGATAGCAGCATTATTTGTATTAGCCAGAATCTAGAAGCAACCTAGATACCCCTCAACTGAAGAGTGGATAGAGAAAATGTGGTAAATTTACACAATGGAGTACTATTCAGCAGAAAAAAACAATGGAATCTTGAAATTAGCAGGCGAATGAATGGCACTAGAAGAAATCATACTGAGTGAGGTAACCCATTCACAGAAACAGAAACATGGTATGTACTCACTCATTTATGGGTTGTAGACATGGATCAGGGAAGTGCCAGCATACAATCCCACTCCCAGAGAATCTAGGAAACAGAACCTTATTCCAGTGACTGATGAAAAGCAGAGGAAATACCCACAGACAAAAACTGAAAGAACTGCTGGAATCCAGTGTCAGAAAGAGAGAACTAATGGGCAAAGGAGCTAAGAGTGGGCTGCTTTAACCCACAGAAACAGCTGATCTGAACAATGGGGAGCTCTTGGACTCCAGATTGATGGTTGTATGGAAAATATTTGACTAACCCAGGTCCCCTGAATATGTGTGTCAATGAGGAGACCTAGGTAATCTGTGGGGCCTTGGGTAGCATTTAACCTAGGCGTTTATATATACTTTGAGTGCCCATGTCATGCTATGGGAGGCTGTCTCAGCTGGGACTCTTCGGGGAGGACTAGGCCCTGCCCTGGATGAAAGGACGGTTACTGGAGATCCACCATGAAGTGCCTCACCCTCCTTGGGGATCGAACTGGAGATTGCATGGGGGACTGGAGGACCTGGTGGGGAGGACGGGGTAGGAGGAGAGGGAGAGGGAGCTGGGATTGACATGTGGAACAAGATTGTTTCTAACCTAAATTAAAAAAATAGAGAAAAAGAATAAAAGCATGAACCACTGTCACCTGGCACAAAGGACACTTTTCTGTTTGGATTAGCAGGTATTTTTTTTAAAGATTGTATTTATTACTAAGTATACAGTGTTCTGCCTGCACGCCAGATGAGGGCACCAGATCTCATTACAGATGGTTGTGAGCCACCATGTGGTTGTTGGGAATTGAACTCAGGACCTCTGGAAGTTCAGCCAGTGCTCTGAACCTCTGAGCCATTTCTTATTTATAAGATTTTAATCATAATAATAAAGACTGACTAATAGAGATCATATTATATAATAATTATTATTTTGTAAAATTGTTAAACATAAGAATAATTATAAAATACTAAAATCATGTTAAAATCTTAAATAAAAAGAATGAAGACAAAAAAAGCCAATCAAAGCAGAAGTAAAACTCAAAATCATGCCTGAAGCTGATTTCATGTACAAATATGCTATAAAGGAAGAAGCACCAGGTGACAGAGTGTCCTCCCCAAGGAAAGGGTGTCCCATGTTTGTATTGTGGTAAGTACTTGACCTATGTTTGTAGCGTGTAATTGCTCATGGCTTAGCAAGGCATTTGGGTAAGCAAAGAGACTCAAAGTAATATCAAAATAAACTTCAGATTTTTCTTTTGTTAAAAACTGGGTCATATGAAATAGTTGATAAAGTGAAGTCTTCTGGGCAGAAATGCATTGCCAATCAAATAATTCTCAAAGAATAAGAAAATGAATAATATCACTTCTGAAAAAAACATATAGTCACAATGCCAACTTAGGTTACTTCAATTTTGCCAATCTATCTTCATCTTTATTTCTATTTAAATGGTTTATGTCATCAATTTAGCAATCAATCAATCTATCTGTCTGTCTGTCTGTCTGTCATCTATCATCATCTACCTGAACATACCATACACTGCATTATACTTAAGGTCAGGTGGTAGGGGGTAAGTCACAGCAAAGAGGGGTGTTCCTTGCTGCAGAATTACAGCAGTCCTAAACATCACATCCTGTAGATTTATGATAAGACATATGGATCAAGAATGCATTTGAGTGAAAATCTATTTACAGATTCATTTATCACACAGAAGAGCATTTTGTAAACTTACACATGAATTCCATGGTTCCACCTCTAGTTCTGAGTGTCTCATATAAGAAGACCATGATTTACATAGGGCAAAATGACAGTAGATATTTTCTTTGCTGTAAGTCTGTCATTTTCTTCTCACAATAGAGATATGCAGGAGAGTGGGTGTCTTAGCTTAGTGGCTTCGACAATAATACAGATTCCTCATTATAAACTTTACTAAAATAATAAAGACATGTAAAACAATGTCCAACTAATATTACTCTGTCATATTACCCCAAGACTCTTTACAAATTAAGAGATCAAATGCTGAAAATTGGAAAAAAGATTTTGCTCTTCAATTAATTTTATCAAAGATAATTTAATCACAAATTGAAAATAAATCTCTAAACATATATTCATCTAGAACAATGACACTTATCAAGATATTTTATAATGTTCTCATCAAAAATTTACAATTTTTGTTTCTTAATATGAAGTACAAATTAAATTTATGAAGTATAAATAAATGTAATGGATGGTTCCAACTGAACAAAGATTTATCTTTTTCAAAGTTTCAGATGTACTTGGTTCAAATTCAAGTTAATATTCTTTCTATTTCCTAAATTGGCTGCTTATCATGGGAAAGAAAAGATGTGTATGTCATTCAATGACCACCAAACACCATGACTTTGAGCAGATAGGACATTTGTTATTGTACTTTTCACAAATAGGATCTGACTAAAAAACAAGTGATAAAAATGTGTATCATGAGTAAGGACAAAGAAATGTAATATCTGTTTGCAGAAGGATAATTATAAAGAAAGGCCATTTTGGAGGATTGTTTTCCTTATATTTTATTAACTATAGAAAAGAAATGCAATCAACTTAGTCCTCACTCATCACATAAGTGGATAATATGTATACACATGTAAACAGATGGACATGTGGGTATACTATAATATTCAGAAAAGAGAATAAGAAAAGTTGAATGTAAGGGAATGAGGAAGGACTGAATGAAGGTAATTGTCATACGTTATGAAAAAGGATAAAAATTACAATTGCCTTTTAGTCCTAATTATGTTGGATTTCTTTATTATTTGTGGTGGTTAAGTGTATAGACACATTCAAAACTGAGGGAAAAAATTAAATATGAAGCTTCATGTCTTGAATAACAACTCTTCCATTTCATTAAATTTTATAAATTCTGGATATGGTTAATTTTAATGTGTGATTTTTAAAGTTTTTTATGATAGTAAAGTTTAATTTAAAAAAACCTTGACTGTGTAGATGTAGCACAGCTCAAAATTATGGTGTGCATCTCCATAGTGCTGATCACATAACTAACAATAGACAAGGGACTGCCACTTAAGTACAGTTCTTACAGCATGAGCAGCAGGAGCCTCTAACACAAGTTCAACCAAGAGCTGGAAACTCTCATTTACATAGGAAGAGTAAGATCGTTTCCATGGAGGTTGCTCTCAACTTTAATAACAACTGGGAAAGAGCACCTAAGACTTAAGAAGATTATTTATTTCAACTATGAACAGACCAAGTCTCAATGGCACTTGAAAGAGAGCTGCCGTAGAGTCATGGTCCTCAGAAATTACCTGTTACAAATAAAAAAGATGAAGAAATTATTGAAGCAGGCTGTGATGTGGAAAATTATAAAAGGAGTTCTTTATTGGTTTAGATAACAAAAGGCCAGAATCAGATATAGAGGGAAATGCTGAGAGATCAGAGAGAGAAGCAAGTCAAGGACACCTTACCTCCTAAGCATATCCACAGAGAAGAGAGCGATTTCCTGTTTCTCACTGCTTAAATCCTGTTACTGACCAACTACATCACTTCCTGTCTTTGTGTACAGACCTCCAGACCTCGATGGTTAGCTAGTGGCAAACTTCATTCTCTGACCCCCAGACAGGCTTCATTTGTGCAAGGAAGACATCACGACAGAGAATTGAATGCCTGTAGTTCTTATATCAATCTCAAAGACAGATGCTCAGAGTGGAAGAGAAGAAAAGTCATCAACTCTGGAGATGAAAATGACCATGTGGATTTAAGAAAATTTGAAACTTAATTTGCAGGAGAAAGCATTTGGGCTTGCTGATGTGATGTTGAAAAGTCAAGCCTGAGAGGCACTTGAGTTTTGACATTGAATAGCTAATAGACTTCAGAGCATCACAAGAGATGGTGCTTGCTCGTTGACTGGAGGCATAGAATAACTAATATAATTTATTAAAGGTGACCCATGTTTACAGAAAAGACACTGAAAACAAATATACTCAAAGAAAGTTCTTTAGGAGAGTTACAGTATCATTGTTACAAGTAGCCTGAAGAGAGAAAGTATAGTTCAGTTCCCTTCAGTCGCCAAGAAAAATAGGGAGATTTTTGCCCATAGGTTTCATTGAACAGTGATGTGGTTTCCTTGCTAGTGCCCTAGCCTCAGTGTTAGAAGCTAGGTAGACACTGGAAAGGACTATCTATAGCCCAAGGCTTAGAACTGGACTGTAGGAAGATGGGCAAACCTGTATCCCCAACTTTGGGGGGATTCAGCTCTTGTGTCTCTAAATGTGATAGAAAGCATGGATTATCATCTCTGACAAAAGCTGCAGGGAGAATACTCTGCTTTCCGGGAAAGGAAAAGTAGCAAGAGTGGTCTTATTTAACATATTGGAGAATGGGTATTCCAACAGAAAGGACATGTGAACTAGAGGCTTCAGGGAAAGAAGGTGAAGGAATAGGTTTGAAGTCAAACAACATCTGTCAGTCTGCAATGTCTGGTAAGATGCAAAATTCATTCACTTTTCTGTTACTAGAGTTTACATGTACATGGAGCAGTTGCAAGGTTTTCACCCTTCACAAAAATCGTTTGCCTGCATTTTTAAGATATCTGTACATAAACATTAATATTAGAATAAACAAAAAGCTTTTTGCTTAGGCAGGAGCCTATGGATTTCAGGGTTACATAACAAGCAGTACAGGATGTTACAGGATGTCGGTTCAGCTTGCCTCCACATTTGCATGCTGAGATTACAAGCATATACCAGCAAACAGGTTTTATGTGGTACTCTGGATAGAGGTGAGGAGTTTGTGCATGTTTAGCAAGTAATCTGCCAAGTGAGGTACAGTACCAATACACCTGATTTTACTTAATAAGAGCAAAATGCTGTCCAGTGTTTGCAAAAATAAATCATAGCAGGACTAAGAAAATTGGAACACCATAGACAGTTATTCTAAGTCTTCTACTAAGGGCCTATTGTCATTAATAAGAAAAAAGGAAAGTTCTAGAGAGATAAAGACACCAAGAAGAAACAAGTGTGTTGAATTTCATCTAGGAGACTAAAATAAACTCGTGCACCAACTGGGACTGGGTTTATGCATTGATTAATGTGTTATCTAATACAGTCAAGCAAAGTGTGACATTACATACTTTTAATCTCTCATAACAAAATCATGACCCCAAACAGGTGTTCTTTAACTTTACAGGCCCTAAAACTTCAGGGAAGATGAAATCCATTCTCCAAAATGAAGTGAGAAATTGTGGTTAATGCTGCATGCTGATGTCTTTGGGCTGAGGATTTGTGTGAATACATTTTCAGATATGATAATATGGCCGCAGAAATGAAAAGAATCACCTCTTTTAATGATGAAAAATGAATGCTTTACCAAGAAGCCTTTTGAGTTTCAGGTTGAGCAACCGTTCAATGATTCGAGAAGAAAGTTCATACTTGGAGCTATTTTCCTCAGCTATCACGTGGTAAGAGGACAGAGCCTGAAGCACTTAGTCAGACAACTTTGTCCTGCAGCAGAAAGAAGAGGTGTACCCAAGACAGAGCAGTTTATGAGGTAATCAGTAAAGCTGTGCTTAGGGAAGGCTGAGAATTGGAGACTTTGCTGAGAAACAAACCTGTCCCTTTATACTCACAATTCTATTCTCTGTTGACTTAGAACTTATTAGGCATCAGTTGTGAGAAGTCAATCCACTAACAAAACAGAATTACAGATTTACCCTGTAAATCTGCCTATGTGTTAATGAACACCAGCAACAAGAAGTGAACTAATTTTACCTTAATTTTTTCCTTGTAATTAGAGATATTTTTCTAGTCATTAGGCAATCTGATTTCTGGAACTAATGACACTTACCATGAGTTATCATTGGTTAGATATGTACATGTGTGTATAGTGTGCATATCTGTACATGTGTTCCCTGTGTTGACATGTTTGAGAATATTCATGGAGGTCTAAGATTGATAGGGCCTATCTTCCTTGATTGCTCTATATCCTACAAACTGAGTTTGCTGAATTGGAAGATTAGCTGCCTAGTTGCTCCTTGTTTTCTGTCTATGCCTCTGGAAGAAGACTACAGGTCACTGTCATGACCAAGATGCTGTTCATGTGCTGTTTATCATTTATAAGAAAAAGTATAACTGTTTCTGTGTTCTTATTTCCTGTCCATAACAGTGCACCCTTCAGATTTGTGTCTGCATGCACTGTGCCCCATAATGGCTCACATCAGTAAGTACTTTGCTTCTTTTACAGAAGCAGACAGAAACTGTTTTCCTTAGGTGGAAGTCAGTCATTTTTCTGGAGTTCTGTTTTGCAATGTGAGTTTCCAAAGACCTAAGTGGATGACAATCAACAATCTCCAATTATTTTATTCAATATTTATTTTTAGATGCGCTTGTCATTTTTTCTTGTCTAAGTTTCATATATAGTAACCTGTTATTTATATAGATGTGTTGGTGCCCACAAACTAAGACACTTGAAAATTTGCATAAATATACTATGCATTCTGAGTTAGTACAAAAGTTTAAAATATTAAAGTTATGTATCTATGAGATAATACTTTTGTTGTTACTGTGTTTTTGAGAAAGGGTCCATTATAAGCTGGATGGCTCTAAATATGCTATATAGACACTGGCTTTGAACTTCTAGTCCTCCTGCCCAGCCTTTTAAGTACTAGGCTTATAGGCATATACTGCTACACCTACCATTATTAGTTAATTCTTTGCATAAAATGTGAACTTTATAGCTAAAATGAATGATAGTTGATACTTAAAATAGTTGAAATATGAGCAGAGAAAACACAGATTCTAGGAGGAGTTAGTACAGATATAAGCAGGTATAGGGTTCATTTGAGGAATAATGATGACTTTGGGGAGAGTCTGCACTAATGACAATATGTCAAGATGTCCTGATTCTAAGGAAACTTCACCCCATACACTTCCTCACAATTTCCAAGAGTGTTCACGGCAGTCAGAGTCTTTGGTATAAGAAAAATTACAGATTTGGAAATACCTGCTTGAAGAGACAAACAAGGGTCTGGTTCTTCTCCCATGGATCTGATCCTGCATTGTGACACCTACTGAAGAACCCATTTTTTTGCATTGTCTTACCTACTGGTGGTGTCATACTTTTGCCCAACTGCAACTGTCTATTTCTTATATTCTTAGAGAAGACAGAGGAAAGAGTCAAGTAAAGAACACTACAATTTTTTAAGTTTCAGCATGTGTGTCCATCATTCTGAGGCTTCATTATAGCAGTAGAATCCAAGCTGTAGAATCCACGTTTATTATGGTGCTTCTTGGTAAGACTTGATCTCTTAGTGGGCTGTAGGTACGTTCTTCAGTGACTTAGATACTGGTATTTTCCCATGGCTTTTCCAACTACATTTTTTCTGTTACTAGAGGGAGGGAAGACTGAGGAGCAGTGCCTTTCACAACCTAACATTACTTTTGCTATACTCTGTTGCATACAAAGAACTTTAGTATTGTGTAGGAGGGGACTGCTTAGTGAACAATAGATATCCTAGCATCTGGTTCTACCTTATTGACTCTGGTCTATGATGACAGGTGTCCCTATCACATGCAATGTAAGTCCATTCCATGGCATTACCTGGGAGTCTGTCACTATGTGAGGCTTTGATCATGCAGGGAGGGCTTTGATTTGACTTGTGTTTTCCTTAAAGTTGGAATGGATACACTCCATCTCAGTGCTAGAGTTGCTGAGACAGCAAGTCACACTGCATCTAACAGTGAAGTAGAGAGAGATGAATGTTGGTGCTCAGCTCATTTTCTCCTTTGCATATGTTCAGGACCACAGCCTTTAAAATGATATCACCCACATTCAGGGTGGGTTTTGTCTGCTCAGTTAAGCTTTTCTGGAAACATACTCAGAGATATATCCAAAGGTATGTTTCTATGGCGATTTAAAATCTAATGAAGTTGACAATGACATTAATCATTGACGAAGATGTTGAGTAGTTACTGACTTGTAATAATTCTAAAATGATTTTTGGCAATAATTACACAGCTCGAGACAGACTAGAGTTCACTTCTAATTGTTGTTTGCTAAGGCCTTAGACATAACTTTATAACACTATGATAGCCTATTTTACATGTTTCTGCCTTCATATTTCCTCCCATACAAATAATGATCTTTAATAGTCAGAA